ATTCCTACCAATAATCTATTATCTTTATCTAGATAATATTTTAGTTATCTATTCCCAACACTGTTGACAATGCGCAATTCGAAAATGACGAATACACTTTACGTATGGTTCATTCACGACTAATACTGCTATTGTGCAAATGTATTAATATTGATCATTACTCACTGCAATTCAACACTATTCGGTAGACGCAATGATACTGGGTTATCGGTAATGCGGTAATGCTGTAACGACATTTACAGAAATCTCCGAATCAAGTATATTATTGTACGAGTATAACGCGACTCTAAATAATACTAACATAATAGTGAAATATTTGTTTGGAATAGTTATGACACTTCAACAAAATTATTATTGATTTAAAAATATCAATATTTACTACGTGCCTCGTGCCTCCCCTGCCAAAAGCTCGCGCCTCTCAAGGGAGACGCACGTCTCAGTTTGGGAACCGCTGCTGTATATAATATTATAATCTATATGATTGCCATTGATACTAAAAAACAGCAAGCACTAAAACTTAATAATAATGTAATATAGAATATAATAATCATTATTATAATGTCTCGTCTTGCGAAAGAATAACAATTTAAAAAAAAAAAACAATTTAACAGCAGTAATTTGTATAGGTGAACTATATGTCACAGTGAGTAAGTCACTTAGAAACATACTTGGCATTCATAGACAAAAATATTAACTTTTCAGCATGTTCTAGAGACAATGAAGATCGATGATCTGTAATAACATTACTAGCACAACTAAAAATCCATCCACTTGGTACACTTGTGCCCCGTATACATAAGTACTTCATAGCTAATTTTGCAAATGTTGGAAATTCTGAATCGAATATTTTCCACCATTGTAAAGGATTACAATTCAAGCCAACACTTGGCAATGGTAAATACTTTTCAAGTTCTACTTGGTTCAAATCTTGTATGGAATTCGTTTCAACGGGTAGGCTTGAAAGATTTCCCAAAAATGCAGCCAATCCTATTATATTTTAAAAATTTAGCCAAAATTAGTTACTCACATTATTTTGTTTATTATTTCAATAATTATTAGACCAACCTCCAATATTTGTGTTTTTGTCATGTTCATCAACTTTCATTTGTTGTCCAATATCGTCCATTTCTTGTTTTATTAAACTTATGATAAAATTCTTTTGTGGAAATTCGATGTAATGATTTCTGTATCTTGGATCAGAAAAGATATTAATACTTAGATATTGATACTTTATTACTTGATTACTTTCATATCGTTTAAAAAGTTGTGTTTTAATGGCTCTTTTTATGTGATCTTCTAAGTGATTCAACATTATGTCGGAGGAAATATTATTACTGGCATTGGCAAGAGTATCTTCATCACTGTTGTTAGTTTCATCAACTTTATTATTATTGAGGTAAGAGGTTATCTCACCGGTAGGCAGTGAACATTGAGATATAGTTGAAAAAAATTCTTCAGTATCACCATTATTATCTTGATTTTCACCTTGAGTAAGATTACATGTATATATTCAGTTATCATTGTTTTGTGGAATTGATTTAAATTCTTTAAAGGCTTTAAATAGTTTAGTTAAATGGGCCATATTAAAGAAGCTGCACAACTTGTTCTGAACTCTTATGTTCTCCTTATGTCTTCAGATGTTCATACAGATTACATATTACACGTATAAGTTTTTGTTCATAACAATTTGGGTGATATTTTATAATATTAGATTTCAATTTATATAAAACATCAAAAAGAGCTTCTTGTTGATTTCTTATGAATTGAAGTGCTCTCAAGCTTGTCCACCATCTTGCCACACAGAAGCAGGCGTAACAATTTGAGGCATGTTATGTTTTTGTTGTGCTTCTTTAAGTAATCTGCGCAGTTTAGAGCTGTAATGAAACTTAAATCTAAGTTTAGAAATTTTAGATAATAGTATTTGAATAGGGCTTAGTGACATCGAAGACATAACACCATTGTTAAGCGTATAACCAAAACAACTAATACTATTGATTCCCAATAGTTCAACAGCTTTACTCACATTTGTACCGTTGTCTGTGGTTCCGCCGGAAATGTTAGATATTTGAATACCCCAATCAACTAGTGTTGATTCAATAATATCACGTAAATTGGTCTACATCTAAGCTGGTACATGTTAACCAATTTATTTGCAAAATCCAGCCATTATCAATCAGTGGTGTAGCCAGGAACTTTGTATGGGGGGGTTCAGCAAATTTAAACTTACCATACTTTACTTCGTGCCTTCGTGGTATCGGATATTTATTTTATTGTAAAAATATAACATATGTCGTAAAAATTAAATTCATCAATTTATTAGTTTTAAACAAATACAACTTATTAAACATTGGTAATAAAATGCATAATAATATATTTAATGTCCGAATTTCAGGGTTAAAATAGTTATCACCTACAATACAATGTAATTACAATTTACAATACTAAATCAATTTTTCTTTTTCTTTTTGCCAATTCATCCAACACTACTTCTGGATTAACTTCAATTGTTCTGTGAATATTCAGTTAAGCTAATCCATTTAAACGGTTCTCTGCCATGGTATTTCTGAGATAAGTTTTCAATTGTCGCATTGTCGAAAATGACCTTTCTGCAGTAGCTGTTGTAATGGGTAAAGTTGCCACGATTTTTAACAGTTTGTAGACATTTGGATAGTCATTTTCATTACAATTATTAAGTAACTCTGATAAATTAGATGGAATTTTAGACAAATTTTGTAGAGAAGTCCGCCATAATTTAAGTTCTGCAATAACTACTAAAGAAGAAAAAGATGGCAATAATTGTAAATATTTTTTTACTAAATCTGTTATTTCATTTTCAAAAGTATCTGAATTGTCTTTCTCTTTAATCGGAAACAAACAATTAAAGCTCTTCAACAAAGATTTATGTTTTAATAAAAGATCACTTATCATTGTTATAAAATTATCTAAATATGGAATAAATATTGTCACTCTGTAATATTCCTCAAGCGTAGTAACAGCTGTATTATCTTGATGTACTTGTTTACCAACACGACGAGGCAAAGAAATGTTGATATTGGAATTCTTACAAAATATTTCTGCTCTTTCAAATAATAATTTAAAATCTTTTTCAACATTTTTTCTCATTCCGTTTAAAACATTTATAGAATTATCAGCCATATTAATAACATGAGATAAATCAAATCCAGGTGTTTGTAAAAGTTTACTTAGTGGTAAACTAACAGCAAATACTGTTGATATTATATGTATAGTAATCTGGAATTCAAAGTTATTAATCACAAAATGCAATTCATTTGCTGATGAAGATGTATTTTTATCGGGCCAACTGCTTATTTTTTCTAGAGCATCAATCACAGCATCTTGTAACTCTAGATAAATTATTACCGAGTCATGGCGCTGCACCCAACGTGTTGGACATAATTGTTTTAATTTTGTATGAGATGAAATAGGTACAATATTTTGAATAGATGTAGTTAAAATATTTTGTCCTTTTGGCGAGTTAAAAAAATTATAAATTGACCCAACACTTCCTAAACAGTTTCTTATTGAAGTAATATTACATGCATCAGAAATAGCAAGATTCAGACTATGAGATGCACAATGTACGTATATTGCTAGTGGACATTTTTCTTGGACATAAACGTGGGCACCATGAAATACACCACTCATTGCGGCAGCACCATCATACCCTTGGCCAATCATGTAATTGTAATTTATCCCAATCAAATCAAGCGAAGTTAACAGTGTATTAGCAAGGCCTTTACCAGTGACATCAATTACCGGAACAAACAGTAGGAAATCTTCATTTATTTGACCATTATTAAAATACCTCGCACACAAAGAAAATTGTTCGATACCAGAAATATCAGATGTTTCATCTGCTAATATCGAAAATATTTTTCGCTTCATTAATTTTATTGACTATTTTTTTTTAAATAATGTCCCCACACGTTGAAATTATTTCATTAGCAATCATTGGACTTGTATAGGAAGCATTTTTAGAACAGGTTTCTAAGTGCGTTTTTAATGCTACATCACCACTATCAGCACGAAATCTCAACAATGAACGAAAATGTCCATCATTTTCATTAGGCTCTGTTAAATTCAAGGGGCCACTATCTCTATGACCTCTTAGAGAAAGATTTTGTCTGCCACTAAAAAATGATAGTTTCAATGATAGGAATAAGATTTTTTCTATTTTCAATTATTTTACGTTTTATTCCTGAATCTACTTGGATATCTATAGGTTCGACTTTTTTTCCTAAAATTTGTTTGGCACATGTTCCTTTTAGAATACAAGTTTTGTGATGTTCACAATTTGTATTATTATTAAATACTTCAATAGCATCTTTCCAGTTTTTAAATGGTTTCTTTACCAAATTACCAAAAGTTTGTTTACCAACACCTCCACCCTCTCCAGCAAAAAAAACACAATATTTACAGTACGCTCCGTCATCTTTTTCAGAATATGCCAACCAATTCCATCGTTTAAACCAACACCGTTGAAATTTTAAATTTCTCTTACGACTACTAGGAAAGACGTAACTATCGTCAGGTACCCAAATATCTGAAACCGTATTTACACAATGACTTTTTTTATTGATAATTTCTCCGATATCGGTCGATCTACAAATTATTTCCTTTTGAATTATTTATGTTATCACTAACATTTTGACTATTACTTGTATTGATCTCGGTATTTTCAAGTCTGGTTGACATTAGTTTTTTTGACATAGGTAAAAAAAAGAATTAATTTTTCTAGTCTGCTTATTTGTTAGTGAATTTGCCTATAATAATAAATAATAATAATAATAACAATTTAGGAAATCAATAAAATAATATTACTTCTATTATAAAATTTAATTTCAAATTCAATCGAAGCCACAATATTGACTGGCAAAGCGAAGGGGAAAATTGTACTCATCCCATGTATCCCTCTGATACCAACAGACCTGCCATTTAAATTCAAACGATTGCAATTCTCCGTGCGCTTATCATTCGAGATGCCCATCAATAAGGCACAAGAAAAAACGCTCCAAGTATGCGGTTTGAATTTGGAGGAGCCGTGTTTTTCGCACGGGCAACTATACGTGGCTTGTTCAAGAGTTGGCACTCCAAATTCTTTATTTGTGTATGCCCCAAATGGACAAACAAAGAATATTGTTTACTCAAATGTGTTGGATTAATAATAAACAATTTGAAAAAAATTAATGATTTTTATTGCATTTTTGTGTTGGTGCTGCGAAGCGCACAGGGGTCGGCTATTAATTATTATAAAACTAATAATTTTAACTGTACAACCTACGTGCTCTAAAAAAGCACTAAATATGCAAGCATATAGACATTAATAGAATGTTAGATAATTCAAAATATAATTAACAATTTGAGCTTACCATCCATGAGATATATATGAAGGTTTTCAATAATTTTTAACTTAAGAACAAATAATGGTAGAATTTAAATTTTAAGTTTATTTGATAGCTTATCTCATGAGGAATATGAATAAAAAAAAATATAAATAGATTTAATGATTTTTAATATAAATATTTATACTTTTGTGAAAAAAAAAAATGAAAAAAAAAAATAAATAAATTTTAGTCTTTGTTTCCATATTTCATAGAATATCCGTTAGAGAGCGTTGTTTATTTTAGTATTTATGCTACACTAGCATTAAAAATAGATTTCATGATAACCAATTGTCGCAGTTAATTCCCCCTCCATCAAATCGCATTGAATATGTGGTACATTATAATCAAGGTTTATAGATAATAAAGGTTGCCTCATAGTCACGTAAACAAAGCATTCCCCCCGCAGCGTCTTATTACGCATGACGTCATCCGTTGGAGAGTTTCGCGGGCGGCTGTTGTGTCGTATGTACATACAATGCTTAATATTCATACTTACTGCTATACTTGTCTGCTAATTAATGTGAATTTGTGTTTTACATGTGTTTATTACTACTTATTAGTGTACCTACCTATAATATTTTAATCATATTATATTAAAATATTTTCTGTTTAAGATAGTAGAAACCTATAGTATTATGTATGTATTCCAAGCATACTATTCATAATAATATACTCNCATTATAATGACCCACCGGTTATCGCGACAGTAGCTGTCGCCGACACTTTATTATTATTTATTACACATTTACACTATTATTAGTTTTGTGTAGCGTTGCGCGAGCGCTTGTAAGTTGTTTGTACATTATAGATAGCCGATTTCGCCAATTTTTTGTTTTTTATATTTTACGTATTATATTGTGAATATACAAAAATGGCTCATAAAATATTATCTAGCCAAAATATAATGGACTAGTTAGACGGTGACGAATCGGAACTGGATTTTTCTTATGATGAAGATGAATTCCCAAATGATGAACTAGACCAACTTTTACAAGAATTTAATAGTAATTATACTCTTGATACCGAAATAGATAATTCTAATATTAATAATGTCCTTACTGATAATAATATATTGCCTATGATCACATCAAAAAAAAATATAAAATGGATACAACAACCATTTAATACTCCTAATATTGAATTAGATGATCTTGATATTACAGATCCAGTAATTGTTTTACGTAATCCGATCGATTATTTTATGCACTATTGTAATGATTATTTTTTTGAAACTCTTGCATTCAATACTAATTTGTACGCTATTCAAAAAAATTTAACCAATTTTAAAGCAACAAATCAACAAGAAATACGAGTGCTAATTGCAATACATTTAATTATGGGTTGTCTTAAATTTCCTAGAGTTAGGATGTATTGGGAAGAAAATTTTAAAGTACCAAGTGTTTTCAATTCTATGTCAAGGGACCGTTTTTTTCAACTCAGACAAAATTTACATATAATTAATAATTTAGACATTCCAAATAACAATCATGATAAATTTGTTAAAATCCGTCCACTGTACGATCTAATAAAAAAAAAATGTAATGAATTACCAAAAGAAAGAAATCTTTGCATAGACGAACAAATGGTACCTTTTAAAGGTAAATTATCTGTTAAGCAATATATGCGCGGTAAGCCATGCCCATGGGGTGTTAAAATATTTGTTTTAGCTTCAGAAAATGGAATGATTTACGATTTTATACTGTATCAAGGAAGTTCTACCGAATTAAGTCAACATAATTTAAATTTATTTGGTCTTGGAGCATCAGTTGTCTTGCATCTCGTGCACACTGTAAAAAAAAATTCGCATTTTTTATTTTTCGACAATTTTTTCTCCACATACAATTTATTTGAGCAGCTCTACAATCTTGGTATTTATGCGGCTGGAACAGTAAGACCAAATCGTTTCGCTAAACCTCCTTTATTACTTGATAAGCAAATGGCCAAATTGGGTAGAGGGGCCACGTTTGAAATAAGATCTGACGTTAAGAATTTATTTAGTATAGGCTTAGTAAAATGGTATGACAATAAGGCCGTTACCTTAGGTTCAAATTTCATTACATCAGGAACAATTGATACAGTACAAAGATATGATAAAAAAAAAAGAATATATCACTGTAGAAAGACCGGAGATCGTAAAATTATACAATTCAAGTATGGGCGGAGTAGACAAAAGCGATCAGTTAATAAGTTTTTATAGAACTTTTATTAAATCTAAAAAATGGACTTTACGCCTTATCACCCACGCTTTTGATTTAGTTGCTAGCAATTCCTGGCTTCAATACAAAAAGGACGCTACTGAATTGTGTTTACCAAAAAAAAAAATATTAGATTTGTTACATTTTCGTCTACAGTTGGCAGATGAATTAATACGTTCTACGCGAAAAATAGTGACAGCAAAGAAAAGTAAGGTGGGACGACCAACTAGATTAACTTATAGTTCACCAAATTTTGATACTGCAAGTACAAGTTTTAGTCATCTTCCTTCACCTTCTCCTACGTCGTCATCATACTCTTTAAACCAAACAAAAAGTCGTACTGACAGTCCAATCGCTTCAGATGCTGTTAGGTATGACCGAATATACCACATGCCACAAATGGATAGCTTGAAAAACGCGACAAAGTGCAAAAATCCAACGTGCTCAAGAAACAACAGAACACATTTTTTTTGCAAGAAATGTAATGTCCACCTATGCTTAACGAGAGACAGAAATTGTTTTGAAGAATATCATACTAAAGTTTAAACAAAAGTTATCAAAGACAACAAATTTATTTTATAATGCTACAAAGATTGATTTATTTTATTTTATGCGACAAAGGTTGATTTACTTTATTTTATAATTAAAAGTAATAAATATTTATTTTACTGGTGTTATTAGTTTTAAGAAAATGAGGATATTTACGAATAAAAATAAATTTTAAGTTGTTAATACATTTAAGATTTTAGATTTAATTGTTTGAAAATTTAATAAAAAAAAATTTAATAAAAGTATTCTTTTGTGTCCTGTGGGTCATTATAATGACCCACTTCAGGTCTTGGAAAATTTAAGTGCAAAAATTTTGAAAATTTGCAAAATGATTACTTTTAGGATCCTAAATTGAAATATTAAAAAAAAAAAAAAAATTTATCGGCCAAAATAATTATGGGTTTGAAAGGGTTAAGCTTTCCAATGCGATATAAGAAACCACATTTTTCATTAAGTCTTAAATTGATTAAAACGTATGTTCAGAGAACTTCATAAATGAAAGAATAAAATCAGTAAGCACAGATAAGTTCAGAGATACCAAAACAATAGTATCGATATGACAACATTCGACATATCTATTTATATTCTTCAGTTAATCTCTCTACAATAGTACAATCGATTATCGATACCACGAAAATGCCCATAATTATATTTATTGTAAACAATGCTATAATACTATTAATACTATCAACCATATTATAAATAAATCTATTTTAAATTATAATATTTAGTCAGTAATAAATAATAATTGGTTTTTATGGAATGAGTCGGCTTCCGCGGGGCTCCGCATTTGCGCGGGGCCCTGTGCAGGTGCACTGGTTNTGCGGGCTGGTTAACGCTCATGGCTCATGGCAAAATAAAAATATTGTCATGAAATAAAATATTTAACGATATTAATGACCACTTGGGCGCTAGCTGCGCTTCTCGCAGGCCGCAATCGAGGTTAATCACTGGGCATCAAAAACATTGCTCCGTTGAGTAACCTGTATATCTTAAATCGTGGATAGTACTATCTTAAATCGTGATTATAATTTATAGTATCCTAACTACAGTAGTACCAACAGCATTAGTAATTTTATAATTCTAGACTAGATTCTGCTAATATATCATAGGTATTACAATAATAATACTACAATTAAAAAATATTTTTCTTTCTATAAGTATTTTAGTTATATTATAAATGAGTTAGAGTTAGTATAAATCAATATTTTTGAATTTTTTTTTTGCAGGGAAAAAATGGGGAAATTTTTAACCTTAGATTGGGGAATCTTAAAAAATTGAGTTACGAACCCTGCACTGGTTGCACCGCACTTACGTCGGGCCTGGAACGACGTTTATATTTTGATGGATTTGAACGATTCTTAAGACGCTCAATTTATTTGCCATTTAATAAATATATGTTTAAAATATATTGATAAATCATATTACTTACATAGTAATATTTTAATATTATAATTCCTATAGTGGAAAAATTTTAAAAAATGAAATGAACAACCTAGTGAACTCATTCATTTTTTCAATGAACGTGCACGTGAATGAATTAATTGTCTTATCGAGCGTTCCGAACACAGAGCAAAAACGTAGACCGGCCGGAGAATTCATTATACTGCAATCTGCAGTCTGCAACTATATAATCATATGTTGAACTAATTTATATTATATTAATAACGTTTTCCGTCGAGTCAGTGAAGATTGAACGTAAAAAATTAATATAAATTCAAGTATAAAAATTATATTATAAATATTCCATAAAACATGCTTTTACGTAAGACTTGCGTCGTGTCGTACAATACCAATCACATATTTGTTATAACAGAAAAGTTATATTCAATATATGATGGAAAATTAATGAAATATTTCAACTTGGCTTTCGCAAGGAGCGATATTGTTGTACGGTTGTACCTACCCACACATCAGAAATCGCCAATCGGAACATTGTATACGCGAACAGTGGTGAACTGGTAGTCGGCGACTCGGCGTCGACGTTGCGCCGTTGTGGATCGTTCGTCTACCGCGAAAACCTTGCGCATTCCTTATCAACTATCATCGTCCAAACAATATTATCTCTGTTATAAGCTACATTTTTTTTTATCTTAAACCTTGCCGTCTATAATTAATAATAATAACAACTCTGAGATAATAATAATATCGTTTATCGAGCATTTTGTCACTGCGTTTTCTCGTCGCTACTGCAAAGTTCAAACTGCCCGTGGCTGCTTCCCAGCAGCAGTCCGTTGGTCGTTCATTGTTTGCTTATCCCTCTGCCCGGACCTGGAGAAGAACGTCTAGTCGTGGTCTGCACCCTACATCCTGTCACCCAGCAACTCGAGCGCTATTAGATCTTCTTAGCGGTCGGTCCTAACACAACTACAATGTTGATGGTCGCTCACACAGTAAGTGCGCCATGTAATCGTTTGGTACCATGAATGCATTCCGAAAAATTTCAACGATCGGCTTATATACGTCCGTAGGTCACATACATCCGCGACTGTCATCTAGGTGTCCCGGCTTGGTGACTGTTTGGTTTTTTGATGGCCCTACTCGTATGTCATAGTTTATACTAGGATGACAATGTTATTCGGTTAATCTATACAAATTCTCTACAATTCATATAGAGTACATCAATTCTTATATTATCTGTAACATTGGCCAGTATGAGAAATGTGATGAGTTTCATTCAACTGATTGTGTTGTTTCTGCCGTTTGCGTTATCTGCAAGTCCAAATTGGATGTAAGTCATTTTACTAGCTAGTCTCCATTGGCAAGTGATTGTAGTCATTTTGTGTTTGCTAAATATTGTGTTATGTAGTTTGCGTTTCATTATTTTCGTTTTTACTATTGTGATGTTTAGCAATTTTTGAATTATTTATTTTATGTAACCATAAAATGCTTTCAATATTTTTGATCAAATTGATTATTTTCATTAAAATGTATTTTTTGTACGAATATTGTAGTACATTTTATTATAACATATTGTGTATTTGAATTGTATATGAACAGTCGTTTTAGCCTCTAAAGGTACAGTGAACTAGATTTCCTTACAAAAGTAACTCGTAACAGCTTATTTTATTATTATTACACTTTTGTTTGTAGTGTCTTCTTTGTAAGATAATATATTTTTCAGGTAATAGCTTGTAGTTATACATAACTTGTATGTATTCAAAAAACCTCAGAATCGGTACCTACTTTCATATAAATGCGTACACATATTAACCCATAGAGTTGATAATTAGTCCCTTTTTGTTGTTATTAGTTATTTTTAGTACTTTTATACATAATTTCTTCATTTTCCACTAATTTTAAATTATAGGTATTTAGGTATAATAGGAATACCACCACCTCTTCAACAACAACAAGCATCGCCAGGCTCAGAGATCGAGGATCCAGAAATAGTTCAAGCTAGAGCTGTTTGTAGTGCTTTACCTGGTTTAGCATCAAAACAAGTGGATGTGTGCATGAAACATCCAAACGCTATATACTCAGTTTCTGATGGGGCTAAAAAAGCCATTGAACAGTGTCAACTTCAATTTCGTCATGAACGATGGAACTGTTCAGTTATGGAAAATGAACAAAGTGTATTTGGTCCTACACTGGACAAAGGTTTGTAATTAACAATTTTCTTAGCGATTTGTTTTTTCAGAGAAATGAATTACTAATATATTAGTTGAAATAACTTTTTCTTATCTTTTTATTTGATATCAAATATCTTAGAATACAACTATTTTTAATAATAAATAATTAATGAATTTTTTTTATAACAGCAATAGTTTTATAAAACAATACTACTCTATCAATTCTTGTAACAATTGTAACATTATAGGCCATTAAACTCCATAAACAGTAAGTGGCTTTAATTAATGTAATAGAATTAAAATTCTATAGTATAGGTAAAATTACCTCTAAGATTTTGAGTGGAGCAATGAATGTATGTATTAATTTTACAATTATGTTTCCTATTTTTTATTTTTGTGTTTGAAGACACTTAAAATAAATGCTCTAATCATCTACTTTGGTGGGTCAAAAGAAGAAATGACTAAGTATTTAAAGATAACAGCAATAGATATATGAACAAATGTTGAAATGTCAATATTAATTAAATAATTTTTGATAGCCTTGGTTCTTGCTTGCACGGGCTTCAATTCCTGGTCACACCTTAAACAATTAGTGCCTTAATACTCAGACAGTGCCCTTATTTTATTTCATTCTTATTGTAAATTAATATTTCATAATACAGTGCACATAAAAAAATCTAAATATTACTAAACACAGTATTGCAGTAAACAGTTAATATATGATACCATTTAGATAATTGAGGGGGCAGTTCAGTCTTGTTTTGAAAGCAACTTATTTAACATTATAACTGATGAGTTTTTCTGTGAAGCTGTGCATCCACAAGCTGATGTGGGTCCACATATCCTATTAAATAAACACAATACTTGTCATTTAAATGTATTATTAAAATGCTGTTAGTTATTGCACACAAATATTTTTAATTTTATTACACTATCACTACAAAACAAATTTCCATGATCTCTGCCAGTATGTCATTATGATATATGCAATATAAATTATAATAAAATGTATACACACATTTTACCATGCCTCGCCCTGTGAGGACACCTATCAGTTGTGTATAAAACACATTTTGTCACATTGAATAATAGATGTAATGATAAAAATAAATGTATTATCGGACTTTAAAAAAAAAGAATATACATTAAAACAGTCTGCAATTAATAATAATTATTATGGACTTGTGTAGGTAGTAAAGAGACCGCTTTTATATATGCTATCACCAGTGCAGGAGTAGTGTATTCAATTACAAATGCATGCAGTTCTGGTAAATTAACTGAATGCAGTTGTGACTCTATGCAACATGGTCAAACGACACCTGAAGGATGGAAATGGGGAGGTTGCAGGTAAATATTACAAAATTAAATAAATAAGTTTGTGGTTAAATAAATATATTAATATATGTATATGCAACAATCATTTTTTCAGGTAACATTAAATCATGATTGATTGTATTATGACATCTTTAATTGGTATTGGTATAAAAATATATATTTCTTATAAATAGAAATATCTATATTTCATACCAATATGGTTAGGCATATTTTTTAAAGTGATTTTTACCGGACAACTATGGCTCTATAATCAAAATTGATTAAATGTGAGCCATGTAGTACTTGGCCTTGCATTTTGAAATCGCCACATGTCTAATATAATACGAAAATGAAATTTATTATTACCGGAAAATCTAATCACTGTATAATTCATACAACATTTATATATATATATATATTTTTTTTTAGTGATAATTTGCGCTTTGGATTACAATTCTCTCGAAAGTTTGTTGATGGTTCTGAACCCAATCGCCCGGATAATTTTAAAACCACAAAACAAAAGAGAATCTGGTCCAATCGCCTCAAAATGAACTTGCACAACAATGAAGTAGGCAGACAGGTAATACAGGCAATTGTTATCTTGTTTTCAAAATCTTTCAGCACATAATATTATCCTAGGTAGTAATAAACAGAACTTATCATTAAAATCACAATGATTAGTAACAATTTAATTTTTTTTTACAAGCATTATAATATGTAATGGGTCATATCAGGTTTTGAAGGCTAGGTTTAAAACTTGGGCACAGGCTAGTGAGATTCCATTGCAGAATACCTATGTTGGTTTAGGCGTTTGCCCCTAATATATATGCCAGAAAAAACTTATTTGTTCTATACCATTAATCTGCAGTTAAAAGTTAATTTATTAAAGTTATCTCGTTTTCAGATTGTAATGTCATTAATGAAAATGCATTGTCGTTGTCATGGTGTGTCAGGATCATGTGAACTAAAAACCTGTTGGAAATTTATGCCATCATTCAATGAGATTGGCAATGAACTAAAACAGAAATATGGAAAGGCAATTCTTGTATGTTGTGGATGAATTTTTTTTAATAATTGTCATGTTTGTTATTAACTTCCATTAATCATGAAAATAGATAAATCATGCTGTAAACGATTCACAAAAGAAAAATAGTACAATACATAAGAAGAGAGAGCCCCGAGCTTTAAAGAGACTAAAAAGACGAATGTTAGTTGAATCAAAAGAATTGGTGCATATACAAAAGTCTCCAAACTATTGTAAGCAAGACTTTGAAAATGGAGTACTTGGTACAGAAGGGCGGAAGTGCAATATTACATCAACTGGACCGGATTCTTGTAATAAACTGTGTTGTGGTCGTGGTTATATCACTAAGGTAATAAAAAATGTTAATAATTATAAATAGGGAATAAACATTTTTTTTTTGTTGTTCCTCAGGTTGTGAAGGAAGAAGAACACTGTAATTGCAAGTTTGTTTGGTGCTGTTACGTTAAATGCGATATATGCTACAAAAACATTGAACAAAAATCTTGTAAATAAATGAATGGGATTGAACGTGTACTTGGAATTAAATTTTTTATGATTGCTTCAAAAGAAATCTTTAGTCTGTTCTTATTCATAAATGCCAGTTTGCATTCAATTGATAGAAATAATATAAACAGTAAAACCTCCTTATAACGAACATAACCATTAGGGAAATATCCTTATAATTGAATATAACTGTCCCGGATAACCTATATCCCATATATTTTAGTCTCTTTTCAACGAAGAACTCTGTAGGTACCAAGCGAATTCTGTTAAAAGGGTGTTTTACTGCTACTAATTTTCTTATACATATCAATTATCATTAAAATCAAGCACATGCTACAACGTTCAGAATATTTTTATCCTAATTGTACGTTTCCGACCTCCCCAATTGAAGTTCACACACGTCTTCCACAATTGATTTACTGTCGCTTGCACTCGCATACTCTGTAGTATTCGAAAGCACATCATATAGCGTTTAGAGCATTAAATATTTATATTTAGTATTAAAATGTAATGATATATAAGAATGTAATATTATTATATCTTCATATATTAAATTATTATTCAACTATTAGTTTGATTTGTATTTATTTTATGACTCATACATTTTTATACAGGAGAAACGCGATTAAAATATGTATTAGACTTTTAATTTATAATTTAATAACTGTATAAATATGATTTAATACAAAATTAAGAAAAAGTGGTTATAACGTAATTAAATATAAAACATTTCACGAGTATTGAGTATTCAAACAACTGAGTTTTATTTTTATTCCCAAGGCCCCACAAATATCATTATTGAAATTCTATATTGTGATATTAATGTTAGGCTAAACATCACAAAAAAAAATAAGCTGAACACACTCATTGTTTTTTCAGAAGATAAATTATTATGAAATGTTACAAAAATTGATACATTTTATAACATCAACAATAAAAGGAAAAAAAGTTATAATAAAATTACATAAAAATAAGTTCTAGAATAACAATCTTAACATAATATTTGTGATTACCATATACCAGTTTAAATTAAATTAAAAAACCCGACAGTTTGCACATACATAAATCAAAAATGACACAAGGCATACATTTATAACCTTCCAATCATTGAGCTAATATTACACAATTAAAAATATTAAGTACTTAATTCTATGAACACAGTTTTATAAGTCCAATTTAAAAGATTTTGGTGTCCACGTTTATTGTGATTTTGATGTATATTAATGATATTTGAATATCACAAATAGGCCAAAATAAAAATTAATTAGTCACAATAATGTAAATGTGCAGTTCGAGACCATTAACAAATCTGATAAATTAACTTTAAGTACATTAAATGTCATACATTTCCGAATACTCCCTCCCACAAAAAAAAAAAATCAAACAATATATATTCTTATATCTTACATAATATAATATATTTATTTTTATAAAAACATTTTTTTATTGGATAATATTATGATAGTATAAGCTACAGAAGTAAACAGTCATGAACATTTCAGCACTTAACAATTTATTGATTATAAAAATTATAAAAATGACAGCCTATTATGATTTTTTTTCTTATAAATATAACTTACAACTTATACCTGTTAAAGTCAAATTCATATTTAGGCAGGAAAGGTGACAGACCATTTAATTCACCAATATTGCTGTCATACATATTGTCTTACCAAGATGAACAAAAATAAATTCATCATGGTGGTAAAAATGATGTACATTGTACAGTGTATAATTAAACTACATTATGTCTTTACATAATATTTATGAATATTCCAAAATGTACACAAAATAAAAAACATATCCAACAGAAAAACTTGACCAAATTGCATTATTTTATCTGAATTGGGTGATGTTAGCTGATATTACCTGACTGTAGTGTTACTACGCTTTAATCACAATTTGCTAGTAAACAAGTTACAACAAGTTCTAACCTTATTAAACGTAACTGATAATCATTTTGAACATTTAAAAAATAAGTTTTTTACTTTTACTATTACAAACAGCCAAAAAAGTCGATCTTTTTAAAATACGCTACAAAATGTCATTATTTGATATTATTTTACATTTTTGTTAAAAATCAATTAAATATTTGGAATTATTGTAATAAATAATATATAATTATATTTAAAATATAAAATCTGACATTAACTTTGACTTGTAACCTAATTTTAATCAAATTTAACTAATCCTCAATGGCCAAGATGATTAAATAAACATTTTATATCAATAGACTATGGTACATTTTTGAAGAATTCAATTTACAGAACTACTTTGATAGGCCAAACAAGTTCAAGAATTATGTTTTTTGGAATTGTGATTCATCCTCTTTCCATAGTACTCAATGACCAACAATTTTTATACCAATTACATAATTAATCAGTTATGTTAAATTTTTTTTTTAAGTTTTATGTAATAAGATAAAATAAGGGGTCAAAAAAGGGTAAAAAATTTACTTTAATCTGTGAAAAGATCAAAATATTAGTATTGCTCGTTTATTGTGTTGTCCGATCTATCATGTTTACCAGACTACAAAGCTTTATTGCACATACACAAATCAAAATATAAAATCCTATACTATACTGCTTTGTTTAATAAGTAATTTTGCTTTAAGAGAACATCATACATCCATTTTATATTTGAAGGAAGTTTAAATGACAGTTTTAAAATTGTATTTTAAGAAATATTAATAATTATTTACATGTTATTATGAAGTAATTTACAAATGTTTGCATGAACCAACAGATTTCAATAAATGTAGTACTAGGAAAATTGTTAATAATAAATAGAAGAAATGTTATTAATATCAAACTAAATTCTCAATGATAAGTAAATTTAATCTGTAAATGGTATAAAACAATTAGTAGAAATAACATTAAAAAAAAATGATCTTCAATTAATGGTTGGGTTGATGGTCATGCTTCGTAAAATATGCACAGAGTAAAATTGTTCACACACATTTAAGTTCAAATCTTGTGAAAGACAAAGAGATTATAAATTAATAAATTAGCAAAATATGATTTAATACAACCTAATGGTATTATAGCAATTATTATTAAACACAATTGATTATTAGTATATAATATAAAATATATATCTTAATGTAATAGTTTTTACATAAAAAAAAATATATTTTATTTGTCAATATTCTATAGCCAAAAATAACAAATAAATATTCTTTTATCATAAGTATGTTATTAATTTATTTGTGTACATATTTACCGAAGTTATGAATTAACCAAAATAAATATGAAGTGTTTATGAATATACAAAAACACAAATATTACCATACCATTATTACAATATGTACTCTGATTCTGTCTAATTTCATTAATTGCAAGTAATATTCGTAATATTATCTCTAAAAATTATAAAAATTTAAAACTTAAAGGAATGTGGTAACATTATTAGCATTATTAGTAGGTATATCTTTTTTTCAAAATTTTACACACAAAGAAATATCAAAATTATGCTTCATATTTACTGTACAATGGACTTATATGGTGTAAACATAATATGGATTTTTCATACGGATTAGAACAGACACGTTTCACCAAATTACGGTGTGGTTATGGTCAACATATAACACTACAAATAAGTTAATAGTATAAAGTATTATTTAATTTTAATATATCTCAAGATCAATAAATAACAATCTATAGATAAACATTTATATTATAGTATTATACCATAACACTTGAGTAAAAATTAAGTAATATAATTAATTTTTAAGTGTGTAAATATTTAAAATTCAAGGTAGTTGTTAACACAATGTTACATTATTTGATTTTAAGATAAATTAAAGATGGATGTGTCAAAAACTTGCTTTACTGGCATAACACAACTTGATTGACCCACTACATTTAAAAATAATAATAGTTCAATTCGTATTTCCTATATTTTATAGGAACTTAACTAACTGAATTCCCAATGACCTGTTGCCACAAATATTTTTTATTAATAAAAAAAATATGTATAAGATGTAAAGTACTTTAGTATGCTAACCTTGTGCCCATGACTAAATAAATAAGCATATCAGCATCAATTTCCTTGTTTTTTGTATTATTGTGTCACGCATGTAAAGATCGATATCAATTAGACAATGTTTATTTTTATCATAGCACTTAATAAAATTAAGAGTTGATCTCAAGTCTGAAGAATGTTTTGTGCTCACAGTTATCTAACTGATATGCCTGCTTATTTAGAATCATGTACTCACTCACCAGAAATTATCATGATAAGACTAGTTCTCATTGGGTATTGTTGTGTAGTATACCATTTTCCCCTAAGAATGTGGCAACAAATATACTACATGAATAAATATCTTTCAAGAGGTTCATTTTACTTTACATATATAGGCTTGTCATATTATAAGAGACACAATATTAACCTATTCAATAATGACCCAAACATTTCTGACTAGAACCCCCTGTCCTGTGTAAGTCCTGCATGTGTAGTTTCCATCTAACATAAAGCATAGAAAGTGTAAATTCAGCCAAATCAATTTATTGCTGTTATTTTTGATCCTATAGTGAATTCATATTATATTTAACTAAAAGGTAAAACATTATTTGTACATGTAAGTTGAGTTTTTATGATATTTAAATTTATAAATGAGTTATAAATTGTAATATTGCTCATATTTTACTTAAAAATGTTAATATTGTAGAAACCAACATACAAACATAGATTATGTTCTTATCTTTAACTTTGATAATAGTTAGATTCAATCTTAAATAGAATTGGTATTTTGTACATTTATTTTTTAAAAACAATACACTTGCGGATATATTCCGGTCCACAAGGGAAGGAACTCATTTCGCACATGCAACTGATTGTGTTGAACTTCTTATGACACTATTTTCTTTACTCAAACATTCCAGGTGGTAGCATGCTACTATAATTGTTATGATGTATTTTTGACAAATGTTCAGTGAAATATTTACTCCCTGTGACTTGATAATTAAATGTAGATAAAATGTAAGCTGAATGCACCATAATCCCAGATTAAGTCAAACTCCCCTAACTCACAACACAAAAAAAAATATGAAACATGATTCTGATATTGCGTGTGTTGGCAAAAGTACTGATTATACTACCACATACCCTTAGTTATGTACATTCAATTTTAATATACTACTTTATTTTCTTTGTAAATTATTGCAATATAAATATAATTTTGTGGTAATACACAAAATATGGATACATAAAGAAATATGTACCTAAAATAAAATAGGATTAATTTTAGGTTTGAAGATAGTATGACACATTTTCCCTGTATTGTTAAATTTTTATATGAAACAATGATTTAAATGTTTTAATTTACATGTTATTCACACAATTATTTATTGTGTATGGTTATCAGCTACAAGAGGTAAAATAGTTATCAAGAGCAAATATAATACTATAAATTATACAAATATATGCATATACTTATAATTTTGAATGTGAATTTATTGGGAATGTTGATACAGAAATATTAGAAAGAGCTGATCTATCCATTTGATCATATTGTATTTATAAAGATTGTGTCATACATATTGCGCTGTATGTAAATTAAAATTGAATAGTTGGCTGTTTATTTTTTGATGCACTTAATATTGCCAAATTGTAATATAATAAAAATTAATTTAGGGTAAAAGCATTTAACGGGTTTGCTCAGATAAACAGAAAAAAAGTGAAAATGATGTCAGATACTATTCATGTTATAAAAAAAGCTATTTGACCCTTTATACAATATATGTTGCAAATAGTACCCTTGAAAATAAAATGTTATTTTTATATACATATGGTCTGATATCAAAACAATAATTTGCTAAGAATACCTTCTGGACCGTCTGTTTTGTAGCCGTATGTACTGTAACATTTATGGAACAATTCTCTTACAGCAGATAATCTGTTTTCTCGTCTAAAACATTTAAATTAAATAAATATGAAAATTCAAATACTCAAATTTTAACAAAACTAAACTTACGATGAAATAGGTCGAAATCTATTCTCAGACAAATCATTACCATTCAGGCTACCGGTTTGAGTTACCATTGACCACCTGACAACATGAAAAAGATAAGTAACAAACAATATTCCTAATTTATTTATTTTGTATACTCACTCATCAGTCTCACTTGAATTTGAATAGGTTCTTATATGTTTATGTGAAGTAGGCATATCAACCGGCATAGTTCTATCTAAATTAGATGGGATTTCACAATCATCGAAATCAAAATCTAATTCTGGAGACCTAACTGAACGATGCCGCCTACGGGGAGATGAGCATTTGTACCGTTTTGTTTCTACTTCATCAGACATAATAAAATCATCATCATCAATATCCTCAATGTCTTCAGTTTCGTATATTGTTTCATTTATAAAAAACTTCTCTGCCGGTTTTTTCATTGATTTTAGTTTAGATGTTGCAGTTGGTTCAAAATCAAATTGAGAATGATTATCTTCCAATGTATCATAGGACTTACCATTTGTTAAATCTTCATTACTATAAAATAAATGATACATTATTATGATCATAAAATATTATTTGATATATTTTTTACATACCTGCCATTACTGTTATTTCGTGAACGAATATCTAATTGATCCAAATCAGTTAAATCAAATTCACTCATGTATGAGGAATATTTAGGACTACTAGGTGCCGTAACTGCAGAACTAACATTATACAAAATCAAAAACATTAGTTTTTTATTACTATTAATTAATCACCATGGGTTGTTGAACTTACGGCATAGAAGGTGTCTTGAAATCATCACTAAAAATGTATTTGAGGAAATGAAAACAAAAATGCATTATATCTTCTCCTTTTTCAAGACGATTTTCAAGGTTATGTCCGAATAAATACCAGTCATACCCAAGTGTTAAATAAAGAATCTGGCTGGGGGATAATGATTTATGGATAACACCATCAGCCCATAAGGACATTCTCAATAGTGATATAAACATGGGTGTACGATCCCAACCACTGATGCAATGGATTAATATTCCTTTTGATGAACACCAAACATATTTTAACATCAAGCTTAAGTAGTTTTCTGTCAGTTGTCGCAAGTCCCACTCCTACAACACCAAAGTTAATAATTTATTTAATATCCTGTGGAAAAATTATAATATATTATGCATGCATTTTAATACATTTAATGTCATCTTCAGTTTAGAAAAACATAAAACAGATTCACATTGTATACATTTGTTATTAGTATACTACACAGAATTAATTATTTTAACAATAATTTGTTTTATGTATTTTGAACTTTACATTTTTACATTTAAGAAAAATTAGTAGCTCTGGTAACATAGTTATATTAATCATCGATTGCTACGGGCAACATTATGAGAATGTAGAAACAAGTATCCATATTGCATACAGATACATGTGGCTACTCAACTGGTCCCATAGTAACATTCTTGGTGTCACACACAGATTTAAGGAATGACCCAAAGCCATAAGACATATACACGTCAAAAGTCCAATCATAAGGTAATCAAAAGGTGTTAAGATAATTAAAAATTATGGATAATATTCTAATTAATATATTAAAATTGTATATGCTCAAATACTTTTTTTTATAGTAATACAGAAAAACAGGATACCTGCTGAGTTTTACACAAACAAAAAACTATTATGTATACAAAAATATAATAAGTAATATAGTAATGTATAATTTATGAATACCTATATACCATGTTTGAGTCTTATCGCCTAAAATAAATTTACCAAACTTATCTTCAATGTCACATATGACACACACATATTTCTCTGATCTAATTATAGACGACTTACACTTATTAAAATTATTAACTAATTCTCAATAAATAAAAATTGATTTCTGGTGAAAGTAAATAGATTTTAAGTGTGTATCACCAGTGATGAAGTAACTTATGAGAAATTAATACAATCAATTAGTGTATATTATATGACACTATTCCCCTGCAAGTTCAATGCAGAGGAGTAGCAAGTTTTTGAGAGGAACAAATTTGATACATTTGGCATGATTGGGAAGTTTAGGTAAAATTAGATAGGCAATATATATACCCATGGTAGCCTACTTAAATAATACAAATAATTATATGAAATAAAATTATTATTATTAATCTAAAATGTATAAATATTTAATAAAATGTAACCTTGTATTTACTCCATTGAATATCCAACTGATCAACAGCAGGATTGGGTTTCACATTAAGTGTTGAATCAATCGATGGATCAGACCAATCAAACATTAATCCTTCAGAGTTATAATTGTTTTTCTTAAAATCAAGGAAAAATTCACATCCTGGGTATGGTGTAGGTATAATACGAAACACAGCATATTTTTGAGTATCATCTACTTTTTCTGAAGATGTTACGCTTAACATATAAATTAAAAATTATAATTAATAAATATTACATATAAGTGATATATAATAATACAAATATAATATACTTAAGGGGGATTTGATATGGAACGTTTATAAGGAGTTTGATAAACCTAGGTAAATTCCGAAAGTGTATATAGTAAATGATCATTAGTGTGCGAACATAACCTAAAAAAGAGAAGCACTCCCTCACGTTGATGTGCACACATATCAATATTGCGTTAAACGAATATTAATTAATGTTTTTTTTTTAAAGTATGAATTGTTTGCAAATTGAATTTAATTAATTTAAGCTATCTAATAAAACTGATAAAAATTAAATGAGTTTGATATTAAGTTAAATTTGAATGGACTTTTTTACATTGTTTAAATCAATATATTTAAAATTATTAATATTTAAAAATCTCATTTTAAAGAGTTCAATTTCAAAAAAGTAAAAAAGTTGTTTTCAAAAAAATCGACAAATTCAAATGCTTTCAGATATTTTATCTAATTATACACCATTCGTTGAGAAACCAGGACCGTTTCGCGCATAAGACTGACAAAAATATGGGCGATTCGTCAAATGTCCTTTCTCCAAGTCAAACTATTTTGTATATTATGTAGTGAGTTTAAAAAAAAACGTTTGTGTCGGCCGTTATAATAATATGCTACATACTATACCAATATATAACTATATAATAACATTCTATTATAAGGTACATACAACTCATTTTTGTTATTAATTATTTAAAAAATAACACAAAACGTGCTCAAACATGAATTGAAATCACTACAAAAAAATATGACATTGTATACATGGCCCAAATTCTGAGCAGCTGGCGGTCGCCTGGTGACGAGTAGCTGTTATGAGTAAAAGTGGTGGGGATCGACGAGTTTTCATCTGTCGCACAGTCCTGGTCTCTCGGCAAACAGAGTATAGTATGATAATATGATATATTTTGTTAGAAAACAAAGCCAGCTTCAAATCCCTTTTATATATCAAACCAAAAATATTTTTGAATGAATACTTACGCAAATAAATATTTCTGCTTTTCATTTTCAACCATTAAATCAATAATGGTTCCTACTTTCCAAGCATTAAGTAATTCTACATCACATTTTCTTTTTTTATCCAATTGGCGGAATTCTTCAAAAGATAGACCTTTTGCTGTTGCAGTTCCCAGACCTATTTCTGTCATTCTTGCTATTGTTGAAGACCTTCCAAATTATATCAAATTAATATTATACTTATATTATATTTATAACTACATCGATAAAGTTAAAAATAAATAAATAAATAAACCATTATACCTGCAAATATATTTTCCTTGGTACAATATAACTGGTACAACAAAACGGTTGCGGCATCGAGCAAATTTGGCTTCATTGATCAAAGTATCAATTAATACTACATCAGTACCAACTACTTCACTGGTTTTTTTGGGGCTACTGAGCCTAGGTGATTGAGATCGTACAAAGGGCTCTGGAGATGAATGATTACTAGGTGATGGAGCACCTAAACTGTTTCTTTTTCGATTACAATTTCCTTTTGGTGAAATGTCATCAACAGAACTAGATGAAGTTCTTGGACCTCTTGGAAACCTTTCATGTTGTAAAATTGGTATTTTATGCGGATATTGCTCATTGATACGCCCTTTGCTGTTATCAATAATCTGAAAAATAGTTGGTAATAATGATTTATTTATTTACATCAAATATATAATTTTAATACATTTACCAAATTGTGTTTTAATATTACTATTCAAATCTCTAATTTTTATGTAATTACTAATTACCAAAGCTGGGCTTAATGATTTTTGTTGACTTAGTTAGGTTTCACAAATTTTTTAACTCTTTATTTTATACAACACACTACTCTAGCCTATTTTGTTTTTTTTCAACTCAAAACAATATGGGTAGTGTTTATACAGTATATTTCTAATTTTTTTAATAGTATTTTATTGAAGTTTTTTATCTCAAAAAGAAATAACAACTGTTAGGTACCAATCAAATAACATTTTAATGTATACCTACATAATATTTTGTTAAATATTATACAATTTAAACCATCTATTAACTTCAATAGGCAGGATATTTTGATTTCCTGAAAATGAATACACACTTGTTTGCAGTAGGCACAAAAATAATTTCATCATTGGCAATTAGTAAGTATACTTAGTAATTCAATATTTATAAATTGTTATATTTTATATACAGTAAAACATGTTTCAAAAAACAGTCTATAACAGTGGTTCTCAACCGGTATGCCACGAGATCGACTAGGTATGCCATGAGAAATGTCATACATGTATATGAGGGTAGCAATAACTATTGCCTCCGGTAAAGTTGCCAAATTTGCTGTGGTTGTCAGTGTGAGTGTGCTGTGAAAACTTGTGATGTACAATAATGTGCCATGAACCAATAAAGGTTAAGAATCTCTGGTCTATAATCTCAAACGGACCATATGATAGTGTCATAAAAAAAAAAAATAGATAGGTATTCCCAGTGTGTCTGTCTATAACAGAGTACTTTTGATAGCCCGTCCATTATATACAGGTTTCACTGTATTAAGTTTTTTAATAAGGTATACGCAATCAAACACGGTTCCCAATACTAGCTATTAGGCACACTAGCACAACAGTAGGTACACAATTTTCTACTAATGTCAAAAATAATAAGATTATTCTATTTTTAACACTGGTTATGGAATAACTGATTATTACTAATTATTAATTTTATTTAGGATGAGTTAATACTTAATTTTAACCAAACTATTCTCACCAAACATTGCCACCTGAAATATGTTTTGACAATAATATAAAATCGATTTAAATGCAATAAAATAAAATGAAATACAATAAACTAACCTAACTTCTTAAAATCAAACTTTAATTGTTGATTTTACGGTAATTAAGAAATAAAGTTAGTAATTAAATTAACAGAAATCTAAAAGAAATTAGCTTAGTTAAAAAGTTAAAATTAACTTAACTTTTAACTTATTAACTCGTTAATGCCCGGCCTTGGAATGATTGCTATATAAAAATTGTATAAGCACTTCAGCACTTTTAAGATCATTGCATATACCTTTAATAGTCATAATATATTATAATATATTAACATAGTAATAATACACTAGCTATAAATAAATTGATTTTTTTGGTAAAAAGTCCCAAACTCTAGTCATTACTAATTAAAATAAAAATATACATAAATACAATATTTAGTACCACAGCCAAGAATTACTAATGGTGGGAGAGGAGGTTCAAACTAACCACGGATACCTCTATTATGTATATTATTATACTATAAGACACAATAAAATTAATGGGAGAGGGGGAATATAGCACCAAAAACAATATGTTACTAATAAATAATAATATATGTTTCCCTACATTGACTACAATAAAGATTTGGGACTTATAGAATTGAATTTTCATACCTTTCATAGATGTAGTAAGACATGACAAAGTGATATAGAAATACATTTCAAGCAAAGAATTTAAATATAAAATTGTATTTTCTATATTTTCAAAATAATTTTAGTTATTCAATGATTTTCAGCAATACTACCATTATATACAAATTATGATCACAGATTCATGGATAGTAATTGATTATAATGTGTAGGTCACAAAATATTTCGCAATAGCGTGATCAGTGATCAACGATCGAAAACAAGTAGTTGCGAGATTTGGTTTATCAAAAGACATCGCATACACATATTTTTTCGCAATATATATATTCTATATCTTTAGTATCTAATATATTCTTTATTTTATGTTTATGTGCTATAAATTACAATAATATACATGTGTTTTCTTGAAATTTAAATTATTATTATTGCCAAATGTATGAAATTAACTTAAGTTTTTATAAGTGCATATTTTAATGTTTTTTAGGGCTTTAAGTTCCAAACCATGTTTATAATATGTAGCTATAGGCCTTACACATAGCTACACCTACATATATTCTTAGATGCAGTAAAACTTAACCATCAATGCAACTGACTGGGGTTATTTATTTACTATAAATATGTTCATATTGGTTTCAAGTAATTTTTGATTCTCTCAATTATTATCAAAATAAATAAATGGTGTTCATTTCGAGTGATTTTTCAAGATTCCTCGATTACTAATCATTTGATTACGCCCATCACTACATTCAACTAATAAAATTGATACAATCCAAGTGACCAACAGACAATAAATATCAACCTGAGTATACTGTATAATACTTATGATCACTGATCACAAATAAACAAAAATCAGCAAGACCAAATTACCAAATAACTATTAAAATAATATATTACTACATACAATGTACACTGAAACTTGACTTAACGAACACCTGTCTATAACGCACCCCTCTCTTAACGGACAAAATAACCAGGTCCCGGCAAAAAGATAGTTCGACCTGTCTATAACGGACTCCTTCTATTACGGACACGAACACTAATATTTAATCCAACAATTTCATAACGGACAAAAATACATACATACATACTACGAAACAGCGTCAATAAGGAACGCAATTGGGACATTCAGTGAAAACATGGATTACGACTAATTACATTATCGCCGATTACGATAACGCTAATTGCCTATTGAATTTATAAAGTCCAAGATATCCAGATATAAATTGCAATACGTATAAATGATAACCATGAGTATCAAACGTTTTTATTCAGTTTCTATTGGTTTGCAGTCAGAGTTGTACATCTTTTCCTTAGCAATGCCACCTCTCGTGACGCGTAAAGCTTTAAATTTAAAATAAAAGGATTTTCATATGTGAGCAAATTAATTATCCATCACGAGTTGGCAATGTCCAAATCGAAGTTTAAAAAACAAACATCAATAGAATCATTTTTTTAAAAATAATTTATAAATGTATACAAATATAATGTACATATAATACATTTATAATGTGTCGTTGTATGTATATAATATAAAATTAATAATTGTAATTGTAATAAGTAATTAAAATTAAATTCATAATGTAGAATGTATGTGTATAATACATGTATGTATAATATTAATAAAGATTATACCTAATATGTACATATTATAAAATATAAAACAATACAAATGTATGTAAAAATTTTAATTTTTAAAACATTGAAACCTGTTTATAGCGGACACCTGTCTATGAAGGACAATTATTTTGGTCCCGTGACTGTACGTTATATACAGGTTCCACTGTACATACTATTTTTTATACCTTATACCTAATAATTTTGTTGAAAACTTCATTATTTTACGATTTTAGGCCATCAAGTCTATAGCTATTCATACCCCATAGGTAAAATATTAACGTGTACATGGATAAAATATGGAACAAAATTAAATATATTTTTAATAGGGTATTTTATATCTTACCATAAATTTATAGTCCAGACGCAATAGATTTAAACATTTTTCCATAACATCAAAACCCTAAAAACCAATTAAATAGATATTAACAAACAATAAAATAAATGTACAAATGAATTACTAAGGTACCTATTAGGGCCAGTTGTACCATCTACGGTTACACTTCGATTACTCTTAATCATCTGATAAAAGATTTTATAACAGGCCAAATTTGGCCAATTAAGCTTCGGTTAACTTAAATCGGAGATGGAACAACTGGCCCTTAGTATATGAAAAATCAAGATTAATACCTCTTTATCACAATCATAATATTAAAATACATAAAAAATTATCTTAAAATTGTTGGCAATAGGCATATACAATAGACGTGGATACCCAATAAGATAGAAAATTTAAATATTTTTATACTTTAAATCAAAAGACTAATAAGTAAAACACAATGTTATTTTATAATTCTCTTAATGAAGTTATTTATTTTCTCGTATAATAAGTCATGATGAATTAAATTACAAATAAAACATGTTTTTTATAGTGATTAAATATTATTTATCAAATATATGCAATCAAGTTATTAAAAAATAAAATTACCTACATAAGCAATGATAAAAATGTGTATCAGTGTTGGCTAATGTTTAATATTAGGTCATATTAAAGGTCATACTAAGGCCAGCTATATTGGTTAGAAAAAATTATTAAGTGTTTCAAGATAAAACATTGTGGTCAAATCATTTATTAACATAAATCAAATGAAATATTTTATACTTAAAGTAGCAATTTATTAGACATACTAATGCTAACAAAAACAAATTGATAGGTACCTAGGTATTATGAAATGATAAAGACAATGATCAAAAAGAGCAATTGTCTGATGAATACATTTTTCTTTAATGCGATCTGGCAGGCTTCCAATAACCAATAATTTATAAACTATGAAAATTCTACCAAGCCAATGATATTTTGTCTTTAGATTGTCAAAACATTATCAAATACAAAATCAATGACAACTACAGACTGTGTGTAACAATATTATTAGACTTAACGAGTAGCGTAGGTAATGTTTATGTGCTTACGAACGAATCGCTATTGGTGCATTTGAATGTCTCCTTTGCAAAATGTCCGATCAGCGAGCTGATGTCGTCCTCAACCACAACGTTTTTATCCATTGTCAGCGCACTTCAAGTGACCTGGACACGAGGAAAAGACATTGCTTCGAAATTGCTTTTGGCCAAGTTAAAACCGATAACAATACAATATTGTTACCTCTGCCTATAGACGAGTAAGCGCAGACAGCACAGAGATACGTTCTTCAAATATAGGTACCCGGCTATTGTTTGACTGCGGCGTCGATTCAACAAAACCAACTGCTGCTGCTGATGCTGCTACTACTACTACACGATGATACGATAGTAATAATAATAATAATAATAATAATAATAATAATAATAATAATAATGACGACGACACGGCGGTAAATAATATTATTATTGACGACGCGAGCGCATCTCAGACGGCGGCGGAAACTTTAGGCAATTTGATAATCGAGAGCGTTATAGGCGCGACAGACAGATGACTGTAGAGTGAAGCCCGACGAGACAACGGTTAACGAGAGGGACCAATTAGGTCCTACGCCACTACGGGAACAAAATATCAAGAAATGCGAAGTTGGAAAAAAAACCGAAAAAAAACAAATCAACGTGCTTGTCATGAGGTCATGCTGCCGACGTTTGTGAATTAAACATATTATAGTACACTATATACATATAATAATATCTGTTCCCCGACGAACAACTACGTACACCTTCGTTGATAAGAATTATGCGCATCACAACAAAACGACAAAGACGCGAAATGATATTGTATTGGTAATATGGTTATGGTTGTTGTGGTTGTAGTGCAAACTACGATGGTGATGGAGGTACAAATGAAAAACGATAATATATGTATTATAATAGTGTAAATGTATAATATTATAATGTAATAACTAATAATATGATAAGACATAGCTAAGAGGACGTAACAGATTACGTGTATCTTCGTTAGTTTCAAAATTTGAGTGAATCGACCTTTTATGAAACTCGATGGTAAGAACAAACTGCGTTTGTATGTGGATTTTTCGCGATAGTTCAATTTTCTAGCAAGTTTTTCGTATATGATGTAGCGTAAATTAAAAATGCTCATAACTAAATTCAAACTAATTTATCGTAAAAAAACTACCTACAAACACAGATATTTTCCAACAGTTCTAGTTTTGTGTTATTAGTAGGGATTGTTAACAGCAAACGAAATCGCTACTTCCGCCTAGGGCTAGAATTTATAGACATGGATTGGTATATTTTTTTTGTCACATCCCCAAACAAACTATGCCAATTTTAATGGCAAATCGTCTCCCATTATTTAATTTTGTAATATTTTTAATATTTAAACAGTTTTTAAGTTGGAATATAGGTTGTAAAGTAAAGAGGTTTATTTTATCACACATTATTTGTACAATTATGGATAGTATTGGCTGACACATGATATGTGAACCGAGTCGTCAAGAAAAAAAACAAAGAATGATTTTTACAATTACCTACTGAACAACGCAAGAACGAAAGGCTTCAGTGAAATGTCAGTAAAAAATTAAAACCACGTATAAAATTGTATAATATTCGGTGGCATTGGAAGTCAGTCACATGATGAATGATTCGCACACTGAGATGAAACCATAAAATTTAAGAGACATCTATTTTCAACTGAATAAAATATGAAAAAGATCGTTCTTACGATGATATAAATTTATAATTATAAAATGTGTAATGATATATTGCCGATAGATCGATTAATCGATTAATATATTATTAATCGGTAGTGATGAATAATTAAAAAAATGTATCGAATAATCCATTAATCAATGTAAAAATTGATTAGTTGAATAGTCGATGTCGTCTATATGTATGAATGTATGCTAGTTTGTATGTAATTGTATTATGTGTGTAGCATGTATGTACCATACATGTACGTATGTATATGTATAGAGGGTACCTAATGAGACTTGACATACAACATTATTGTACTTTTTCTTTATAATTATAAGGGTAGGTAAAAGAGTATAGTATAAGATAGGAAACAGATAAAACATAATATAGGCATGGTTTATGTACCGATGAGCAGGCGCGGATCTAAAACATATTTACGGGGGGGGGCCATCTTAAATACAATTTCGGCCTAAGTATTATAAAAACATTGTACATACCATGTAAGCTAATAGATAAATATTATTATTTAAATACCAGTTTATCAGTACAATAAAATATATAAAATTATTAGATAATTAATAATAAATGATCACTGAACAAAATCCTTTCGTCTTTTAAATAATTAGATAAGTAATATAAATTGTTTAATTAATAATGACACGTAATATATAATAAATAATAATTAATAATAAAATATAATAAATATTAAAAAATGATCACAGAACAAAATCCATTCGTCTTTTAGATTTGGCAAATTCGTCAATTACTTCTTCACAGTCAATACTAATATTTCTATAACAGTTAAGTAATGCAAGTCCATTTAAGCGTTCTTCGGATATTCTTGATCGCATCCAAGTTTTTAGTCGGCGAAGAGAAGAAAAATTTCGTTCCGCAGTTGCTGAAGTGGCTGGTAATGTCAGGAGTATGAGAAAACAATTATAAATAATTGGAAAGGTTTCGGAATCACATCTTTCAAAAGCT